TCCTTATTTTCTTCCCCCCACACCCCCAGTCCTTGGTAACCTATGCTCTCTCTACTCTAGGTACCTCTTGTTTAAGTGGAATCATACATATTTGTCTTTTTGTCTGACTAATTTCATTTAGCACAGTGTTTTCAAGGTTCACCCATGTAGCGTGTGTCAAAAGTTCAACATGGCAAGTAAAACATTCTGTTGTATAGAAAATCACATTTTGGGCTTGATTTTCTTTTTTTTTTTAAGATCTCATATTTTAAGCAAAAAAAAAAAAGGTTTTCTCAGCCAGGCACCAGTGACTCATGGTTGTAATCCTAGCTACTTGGGAGGTCAAGATAGGGAGGACCAGAGTTTGAAGCAAGCCTAAGCAAATAGTTCATGAGGCCCCATCTCTAAAATAACAAAAACAAAAAAAATGAACTGAAAGTGTAGCTCAAGTGGTAGAGTGCCTGCTCTGCAAGCTTGAAGCCCTGAGTTCAAACCCCAGAAGTAGAGAGAGAGAGAGAGAGAGAGAGAGATTTGAGAGAGAGAGAGAGAGATTTTGTTCTCATGCAGCCTAGCACTCAATTCTGAAAAAATATTTTTTTGACGGTACTGACTTGAACTCAGGGCCTATACCTTGAGCCACTCCACCAGCCCATTTTTTGTGTGTGTATGTGTGTGTGTGTGTGTGTGTGTGTGAGTGATGGGGTTTTTTTCTTTTGAGATAGGGTCTTGTGAACTATTTGCCCAGGCTGGTTTTGAACCATGATCCTCTCGATCTCTGCCTTCTGAGTAGCTAGGATTATAGGCGTGATCCACCGGCACCCAGCTGGAAAAAATATTCTTTGCCTAAGTGGCCGGGGTGAAACAGCAGGAATTCACTAAAACTTACCAAGTTCATCATCAGATTCTCTCCTGGATGCTGCAACTGTTCATCTAGACTTCAGGGTTAAAAAAAAGAAGTTGCCGTAGGTAAGGCCTACGAACTTGATATTTGTTTTGATTATGGGATGGATTCCTGTGATCTTCCATCTTCTGTGACATCACACGCTTGTATATTATTTTTACAAATGTTTTACCAACAAAAAGGAAAACCTGATTTGATCAGAATGGCATTAACTCCAATAATTTGGGAGAGAGTATTTTCTAGATATTTGGTTAAAAATTTCCAAGATCAAGTCCTGGTTCCATTTTGTTTAACAGTTTCCCTCTCAATTGATCTCCATCTTCTTGCATTTTACCAAAGTGGCAAGGAGAAATCAGGCTGTACCTTTATTGGAGATCTCTGTTGTTTCATATCCAAGTTCAAAACTTGCAAGTTCTGCTTTCCACCCAAACATGGGATGCAATTCTGCTAATCTTTCTGCAACTGTATAACAAGGAATCTTTTTCCTCCATCTTCCAATAACATGTTCTTCATTTTCTTTACTTTTTTTTTGGCATCACTGGAGTTTGCTTGCTAGGCAGTTGCTAGGCAGGTGCTCTTACAGCTTGAGCCATTCCGCCAGTCCTTTTGTTACAAAGGGTTTTTTGAGATAGGGTCTAGTGAACTATTTGTCTAGGGCTGGATTCGAACCATGATCCTCCTGATCTCTCTGCCTCCTGAGTAGCTAGGATCACAGGCATGAATCACCTGTGCCTGGCTCTTCATTTCCTTCTAAGTGGCCTTCTTGAAGTCCAAATTTCTCCTAACAGTTGGTTGAAAACGATCTTGGATTTTTCTGTTATGTTCCTCAGTATTCTTTCTAACCTCTGCCCAGTGCCCAAATCCAAATCCAACTCCATATGTTTAGCATTTGTTACAGCCATGCCTCATTCCTTCTTTTCTTTTCTTTCTCCCTCCCTCTCCCCCTGCCTATTTCTCCTCTCCCTCCTTCCTTCCTTTTCTTTCTTTCAGGTACTGGCAGTTGAACTCATGCTTTCAAGGCAGGTGCTCTACCACTTGAGCCACTTCACCAGCCCAGTACTTCATTGTTTTTTTTTTTTTTAATTTTTCCTCCTGAACTCACACAACTCTTGAGACTGATCCATTGTAACACATATCATTCTTTTTTTATTTTTACAGCACTGGGATTTGAAGTACTTCATTCTTGATATCCAAATCTTTATTAGTTTTTTTCTCTTTCTGTCTTTCTGTCTCTCTGTCTCTCTGTCTGTGCCTCTCTCTCTGTCTCTGTCTCTCTCTGTCTCTCTCTCTGTCTCTCTCTCTCTCTCTCTCTCAGCCTCACCCAGGCTGTCCTGGCACTCACTATGTATACTAGGCTGACTTCAAACTCATAAACCTCATGCCTCTCCCTCCTGAGTGCTGGAATTACAGGCAGGTACCACTATGCCTGGCTCAAATTTTTGTTCATTTTTCTGTTGCTGCAATAACAAATTAGCCCTGGGCTGGAGGTGTAGTTCAATTGCCTAGCATACATGAGGCCCTAGATTCAATCACTAGTACCACAAACCAAAAACAAAAAAACCTCAAAAATTTAAAGGCTTAGAGCAAAGTTCTGTAGGCCAGAAGTCCAATGTAAGTTTTATTAGTGAAATCAAGGGTTACATTTCTTTCTGGAGGCTCTAGGGGAGAATTTGTATAACTTGCTCATTAAAGCTGTTTGCAGAATTCACGTTCCTGTTTCCTTACTGGCAGTTACCTGAGAGTCACTTCCCACCTAGAAGCCACCTGAATTCCTTAGATCCTTGGCCAGCAGTCGAGGATCAAGTACCTCTCTCACTTCAAGGGTCTCTGACCAACTCCTGCCCCCCTTTTCTGTTTTTCAAGGCTCATGTGTTGACATTGGGCCCACCAAAGTAATCCATAAAGATCTTCCCATTTTAAGGTCATTCTCATTCTCCCTAATTTCTCTCTGTCTCTCTCTCTGTCTCTCTGTCTCTCTCTCTTTGGTGAGACTGGGGTTTGAACTCAGGGCTTTACTCTGTACTGCTTGAGCCACATCTCCAGTCCATTTTGCTCTGGTTGTTTTGGAGAGCTGGTCTTGAACTTTGATCTTCCGGAACCTCAGCCTCCCAAGTAGGTAGGATTATAGAGCAACTATCAGTGCCCAGCCACTAGCCATAATTAAAACACAAATTTCAATCAACCATGTTAGAAGGAATACTGAGTTTTCTCTTTCTTTTTTTAATTTTTTTTTTTAGTGGAACTGGGGTTTGAACTCAGGGCCTTATACGTGCTAGTCAGGTGCTCTACCACTTCACCACTCTGCCAGTCTCTGAGTTATCTTTCTATTCTCTGTATGAAAAATATTTCCTCCCCCCAGATTACAAAATTCTTATGTAGACACTATCAGAGTAAGAAGTCTGAAACTGTAGGGGGAAAGTATTATAGGAATGTGTCATGAAGTCACCATAAATGTTATTTTTCTAGATTTACCATTGTAGTATTTGTCAGTTTAAAACCCTTTGCAATTTGTCATGATTTTTCTCTCACTTTTATTATTATTATTATTATTATTATTATTATTATTATTTTGCCAGAGATGAGGAAACCAGGGCCTGCTGCATGCTCTACCACTGAGCAACATCCCAGTCTTTTTCTCATTATTTTAATTTACTCCTATTTCTATTTTTGAATTTATAATGTTGGATTCTTTTACTTTTCTTTTTTTTTTTTGTGGTACTGGGGTTACCACAAAACTTAGGACCTACACCTTGAGCCATACCACCTGCTCTTTTTTTGTGATGGGTTTTTCAAGATAGGGTCTCACAAACTACTTGCCCAGGCTGGTTTCAAACTGCAATCCTCCTGCTCTTTGCCTCCTGAGTAGCTAGTATTGCAGGCATGAGCAACCAGTGTCTGGCTTATATTCTTTTTTAAAACTAGGAATCCTAAAAATACTTATGCCTCAGGCCCAGTTCAACCTGGATCACCTCTGGTAAAGGGAGGAATGGGGTTTAGGATCCTTTGGGGAGGTTCAACCCCTTTCTATTCCAGAGGCTTTGGAGCAAGGCCACTCTGCCCAAAGCATGTTTGAGGCTGCTACAAAAATGAAGGCAGCTAGCACTCCAGGTTGGGGTTAATGGGACTGAACTGAGGTGGGATGAAAGTGGGGGGCTGGGCTGGAGCCAAGGATCTGAGGAGGGGCTGCTATTGGAGACTCTCCCTGAGGGAGAGTCTTGCAAGGCTGGAGAAGGAAACCAGAATCAGTTACTTTTTGGTGGCAGGACTAAAGTCATGACAGCTCCAGCAACCTCCCAGAAACCACCCTGACAAGGGTGGGAAAAGCAAAGGAATGAGTGTTACCCCACAGGGACTGGGGGGCAAGAGTTCTCTATCCCTATCAGAGATCTTTGGGGTCTGAGTCCAGCCTCATCACTGCTCCCCGCAACACTTCTCAGCTGACCAGTCTTTTCCTCTGTACCCCATGGGCACTAGGGAAGCTTGGGACCCTCCCTTGGACTTTGAGGCCCTTCACTGCCTCTCTCATGTGCATGGAGTGTCAAACATGGTTCATGGCCTTTGCTCAGACTGAGACCGCCACCTGGAGTCCTCTTCCCCAAGCCCATTCCTCTACAGGACTTAGCCACATTGTCACTGTCTCAGGGCCGCCCTCCCTGGACCATCCAAGTCTCCCCTGATAGTCAAGTCTTCTACCACACTGCAGTTTCTCAGTGACTGGTCAGGATGGAGGAGGGGCTACTTTTTGGTGGGGAGGTCCTTGGAGAAGGCCAATTGGTGATGCAGCAGTGTGAGGTATGAGCCTGCTTGGGCCCACCTGCCCACGCATCCTGGGCATCACAGTACTGGAGTAGAGGCAGGAGCAGTGGAGGTCCAAGTAGTTGTGCGAATCACCAGCATCATGGTAGTGGTGCTCATGATCCCCACCATAGGGTAGATACAGCTGGCTCCCAGCTCTGTCCAATAGCCTCTTAGAGGCCTGCCTCCTTTAAGAGTAGAAAGGGGCTATAGGGTACAAACAGGGCCGGAGGGAACAGACGCGATGCACAGGCTTGAGTCCTGGCCTAGGCACTCAGGCCATCCCCACCCTGGCTGGCCATCAGGCAGAGAAGCATGGGTTGGGTCACCCAGACTGGGTGAGCGTCCCCTTTATTTGGATTTGCCGCTGGGAAGCTAGACGCTGTAGGTGGCCCTCGACCTGGATCAGGAGGGCATCCAGCACGTGAAGGACCCCAAGGAGTAAGGTGCGGTCTGAGATTGTGGCCCGCCGTTTCCAGGGTGCACAGGGGCCAGTGGTTACCTGTGGATGCTAAGAATAGAAGCAAGAGGAGTGAGAGTGTGGGGAGAGGCAGAGGGTGTGGCAAGGAACAGCAATTGAGTGAGGGAGATTGGTGGAAAGCTATGGGGGGGGGTAGTCCCCAAAGGGGATGGGAAAGGAGGCTTAAGGTGATGGATCACTGATGGTCTGCCATGAGCTAGGTGGTCATGGGGCCCATGAGGACTGGTTGAGGAACAGGGGTCAGGATTGGATGAGCTGAAGGGATGGGTTCCATGGAGATGTGTGGACAGATGCGAGGACAATAGGTTGCAAGGTGGGTGAAGTAGGGCAGGAAGCCCACAAGGCCACAAGGCAGGCTGATGGTTGAGAGTTGGATGTAGGACATGGACCCACTGGGCATAGTAGAGACAGGAGCTGTTGGGGACAGAGAGTGTTGTGCTCACCTCACCCTTAGTGTCCTGGGAACGATACCGCTGTAGCATCGCACGGCTGATCACCAGCATCACGGTGGTGGTGATAGTGACTCCAGCCACGGGGTAGATGCGGTTCCTTCCCAGGCCCATCCAATAGCCAGGACAGCCCAGGCTGCCCCTACAACCCTCCAGCCTGTCTGGTTGGCACCCCCAGGGCTGCAAGTCCATCCCCACCTGGTACCAGAGGGGCCGTGACCAGGCATGGGTCAGGGCAGGCATCGCCAGGAGGAGCAGTGACAGTAAGAACAGTGTGTTCAGCATGGCTGTGACTACTGCCAGAGGCCGGAACCTGGGTGCCTGGCAACCAGCAAACACCCCTCCCCCAAAGAGCAGGCCCAGCTCTGAGGTAGCAGGTTCCAGCTGGGTTCATGGCCTTTCATGAGGCAGCCTGGCCAAAAGATGGGAGGTGGGAGTCTGGGGCCTGGGTCCCACTCTCCCAGCCCAGGAGTGAAAGAATGCCTCTTACCCCACCTCCACCCCTGCCTCATCTATCACCACCCCCTAATGCCCACTGCCCCTACTACAGGCAGTACCCCTCAGGCCAATCAAACAGAATATAACCAAACTGCTCACCTTCCCTATCCCCACACCCAGCTCAGCCCTATCATCCACATTGAGCAGAATAAGCACTTAAAAATGACTGTCATTTGTGCTGTTCCTGCCTCATGCAGCCTCCATGAACATTCCTGATGGGAGCATAGTTTCCTTCCTAGAAAGTTACCTTCTCATGACTTCCTAAGATCCCTTCTATGACTATCTTGGGTAATACAGTCCGTTCTGTCTAATGTGATGTGATCATGGTTATTTTCTTCAAAGTATTTCTAACTATGTGCAATTCATTTTTAGTTTTATTTTTATTTTGTGGTACTGGGGCTTTCACCTTGAGCCACTCCACCAGCCCAATTTTTGTGATACAGTTTTTTGAGATAGGGTCTCATGAACAATTTTCCCAGGGCTGGCTTCAAACTGCAATCCTCCTGATCTCTGCCTCCTGAGTAGCTAGGTGCAATTTCTTATTTGAGGTCATCTCCCACATCAGCATGTGTCCCATTTAACCAATATTTACGAATACTCATTCCTGGTGCCAGAGCACAGCGTGACAGAGCAGGCAAAAAGCTCTGACTTCCTGGGCTGAGATTCTAGGGGGAGGACAGATGGTTTGTAAATACAGTACCAGGCACTGACACAGACCATGATAAAAATAGGATGCAAAGGTGCCTGGGTGATTTGGAGGACAGGGCAGCCACTGTCTACTGTCTGGACTGTGCCCAGTGCCCAGCATAGAGTCTGACACCTGGCTAGTATGTGATGAATGGCAAAGTTCCTGTGCTTTGAACAGGCGATGTGAGCCCTGCACTGTTCGAAGCATTTCTGAGCGTTTGCTCATTGAACACTCATTGAGCAGCACAGGAGGCAAGTACTGGCATTTCTCTACTGATCTGGAGCACACTGAGGCCTAGAAAGACCTTCGTGCCTCATTCCCTTCCTTATCAATGACTGCTCCTGCCACGTGCTCCCATGTTGGTATTTTATTGGCAGAAATCAATACATGCTTTATAGCTGACAGGGATCTGCCAAGACCTGTGATCTAACTCTATGAACAATCGATCACACTTATTCTTACTTTTTTTTTTTTTTTTTTGAACTAAGGGCCTCACACTTACTAGGCCAGTGCTCTACCACTTGAGTCTCTCCACCAGTCCTTTTTGTGTGTGTGTGTGTTACGTATTTTTGAGATATGGTCTCACTTTTTGCATACTCGGCTCTCTTTATTCTTTTTTTTTCGTATTAGGATTTGAACTCAGGACCTCATGCTTGCTAGGCAAGCACTCTACCATTTCAGCCACTCTGCCAGCCTTTATTCTTACTTTTAAATACACCAGCATCATTGGTTGAATAACTACAGATCCTTAGTTAGGAACTCAGAAGCTGCTCAGGGGCACTGGGCCACTCCACCCTACCCCTTTATCAGGTATTCTTGAGAACAGATTAGTTCTGAGAAGCAGTAATGATTCCAATTATTTTCCAGCCAGGAGCAAAGGGCTCTCTGTGTATGGCTTGGGAGAAACTTGAGCCTGGGATTTCCTAGATCTTTGCAGCATAAGAAATGTCAGGAGCTGGAGCAGTGGACCACCTGACATCCCAGCCATGCCCCCACCATGCCACAACAGAGCCTGGAGTTGAGCAGACAAACCTTTATTCCCGAGGCTGAAAATACAGACTGGCTTCCTCCCTGTACCCAGCCAAGGCCAGCCTGACTGGTACTCTGTCCCAGGCCTGTGGCAGTGAACTTGGATTCCCAGGACCTCCATCCCTGAGTTGTATGTGTGTGTGCATGAAGGGGATTCCTGGTGGCACCTGAAACTGGCCCACAGGCAGGGGACTTCTTGAGGGTGACCTGTCACAACCTCCAGAGGTAGGCAGTCTTGGGTAGGGTGGCAGTACAGTCAGAGTTTGGTGGCCTGAGAGGGCAAAGACAGAGAGACTGCAGTCAGTTTCCAAAGAACACATACAACTCCTCCCTAGAGACAGCAACCCCTTCCCCCAGACACAGCTTTCACCAAAGGCAGGAGGGGAAAGCAATGGGTCCACTGAGGGCAGAGTCAAAATCAACGGCATGGACTTCCTGGAGTTGGGGTCAGAGTAGGGCAAGCAACAAATTAACAGAAAAACAGCTTCGTAGGCCAGAAGTCAGCTTACCAAAACAGGGGTGATGGAGGCAGACCCAGAGTGTTGGAGGGCAAAGGTCACAGCGTCATGGACAGAGGCAAAGAGATGCTGCTTAGTGATGGAGTCATCAAAGAAGTGACCAGCTTCAAGCTGGGCGATCACAGGACCTGTAGGCAAGGAACAGATCTCTTCTAACTCTCAGGAATCCCACCCTCCAAACACCCCTAGAATGTTATGACCCCTACCACCCCTGACCTCTACCCATGAGGCTACAGCTAGATACCTATCCACTCATGACTCTTGACTCCTGCCTCCCAGGACCTCTCTGACCCCAGTTTCAGAGAAAGTTTTTCCTGGTGCTGACTAACAAACCACTTGGCCAAAGAAGTCCCATCCTCTTCCTGGATTATTCCCACTGTCCCCATTCAACTCACTGTGGCAGGCTGCAATGTACACCTCCACTTCGATCTCCCGGAAATCACGGAAAATCTGAAGCAATAAAGGGGACTAGACTCAGGGGGACAGTCAGGCAGACTTGAAGGAGGACTTTAAAGGGGGAACTCAGAGGACTTGGGGGCTCAAAAGGCTCAGAGGCCTCTTGGAAAGGTATGGGGTTAGCAGGGAAGGTGGAGAGGCTCTGGCCTCGGACCCCCTTACATTCTTCAGGTTCTTGATGCACACAGTGTCCACAAAGGAGAGAGTGCCCAGGTCCAAGATGAGGCTATGGAAGTCCGGCTGAGGCAGGCCCAGAGACCTCAGCGTGAGCACATTAGGGGCATTAGCATCTTTTTGACCACTGGTCGCTGTGTCCTCCAGCTCTTCCACTGTGCTTACCTGCAGGGGAGCCAGACATATTAAAGGGCTGCCCAGGAAGGGATGAAGGCAGGGAACGCCCACTGCATTCAGGGACACACAGGGTCAGACATGGGAGTATGCATGCAAATACCCACATATATGGGGGCATGCAGAGGACACACACATGGGGGATCCAGCATGTATACAAAGACAGGAGGGATAGATATGTGGGGACACACATAAGAGCAGGTTCATACTGCTCTGTTACCTCCTGGGCTCAGGCTTAATAGGGACACAAGAAGAGAGGATGCTGGGAGATCATGTCCCATTCTCAATCAGTCAGGGTAGAGAGGGTAGGGCCCGGGGACAGACCGGAACAGACACATCCTTCACATGCTCACACACGCACATACCTTGGAACCCTAACCCATCTGAGTCTCTAATTGAACCTGACTCCAATTTGACCAAGATTTTTCCCATACACCCAAACCCTTTTCTCAGACTGGGGTTTTATGGCACCTATAAGCTCAAGATCTTCATTTAAGCCTGAGATTATAGACAAGAGAGCTGCAAGCACAATTTTATATTACCAGCAGTCTCCCCAGTGTCTGAGCTACGCCCCGTTCCTCTGCCATCAGCACAACACACTGGCAGGTCTGTGGCTTTCCTTGGATCACATGAGTGGGCACCCACATCTCTGCAGCTCACGCTGGCCCCTCCTTCCCCCGCTCCCCTGCTCTTCACTTTACCCTGGCCCTGGAGGCTTCCACATCATTGCTCTGGTCTTCAGGGTTGCTATAGACATTGATGGAAACAGAGGTACCCTTGGAAGAGGCAGCCTAGGCCAAGGAAAAAAGGAGACAGGAAAGAACTATTCCAGCTGCCATATAGCAACCATGTCAGGCAGGTCATTCAGCACCCAAAACTGTAGGACCCAGGGCAGTCAGGTTGATAGCTTCAGAGTTCAGACCAATCCTGGGAACAACCACAAAAATGAAAGAGGACTATAATGGTTCATGCTATGACAGGTACATGAGATGAAAGACTTTCAAAATACTACCTACAGCTTGCCATACCTGTCATGCCCTACCCTACCAGGAAGCAAAGCAGATCCCTGAGGGCCTGAGAGACAAAGGGAAGGGATGAAGAGTGGGGATGTGGATTCAGGAGCCTAGGAAGCTGGAGAAAGGCTGGGGCAGTGGGGCAGTAAGTAGGGGTCAGGACATAGGTCAGCTGGGGTCCACAGTAGGACAGAGGACAGAGGGCAGCCACAGGACAGGGCTAGGACTCAGCCTCTGAGAGGAGGCCTGCCTTTTTTGGGGGCTTCTGAGTCTTCTGCAGTCGCTTTAGCTTCATCTCCTGCTTTTTCAGCAGCTTCTTCTTTTGGGAGATGAGGCGGTCAACGTCCACACCACACTAGAGACAAAAGTCAGAGGTGGGTATTGGGGACTCTGGGGAGGTTAGGGGCCCTCAGAAACCTCTGGGGGAGCCCAGTCTCACCTTCCGCTTCAGGGCATCACTGTATAGCTCAGCATTGGCAAAGTATGTGGTCACTGAGGAGCGGAAGACCTTCACGCCTGGGACCTCCTTGGCCTGGAGATGAAGGGGGATGGGATGAGTGGGACCTCATTGCCCTCCACTACATCTTCCGCCACCTTTCCTTCCCTAGAGTACCCAATGCCTGCTACCCCCACCCTCTATGCCCAGCCTGTAGCCCATGTCCTCCCCAGAGCCTTGGCTATGAGTCCAGCAGTGTCACCCCTACCTAGGTCTTCTCCTTCCCCATCTCTCCCACCCTTCACCACTACCCAGGCCAGTTTTTGTGGTTCTTAGCCCTCCTCTTGGATCTCTAACCCCTTCCTTGTGGTCTGTTTTCTGCATGCAGACAACAGAGAGACCTCTCTAAACTCTCTTCCCATTCAAGACACAGCCCAGGTTTCTGCTGGGCATTTGGGCCTGTATCACATGGGAACCTCCCCCCCCCCCCGCCTCCATCCAGGTGAGCTGCTCCCTGATGTCCTCTCCCATACTTCAGATTTCTTGCTTCCACCCCTCATTCTGTCTAATCGTTACTGTGCTCAGCCTTCAAGGCTCCAAGCCAAGGAGAAGGGGCTTATTTTATTCCAGATCCTCCCCTGCACCTACAACCTGTTTTCTCAAAACTTAGCATGAGACTTCCTAGAACATAAATCAGTAATCAAGGACTTCACAGTTTCACTGATCAGATCAAGAAACAACCTCCCCTACATTCTGTGCCCCAGGCCCTTGCCCCTCTGTACTCCTCACCCAGGGGTGTACCACAAGATGGGGCTTATGCTGCTGGCTCCAAGACTGACCCTTCACTTTCCATTCCCTCATACCCACTGTGGGGGTCATAGACCCAAACTCCTTCCTTGAAATTCGAAAGAACAAAACCAAAATGCTCTCAGCCCCCAGTGTCCTTGCCAGTGTGGAAAGTACTGACAAGGGCCCATTCTGCCTCTGTCCCACCCTACCCACCTCCTCTTGCTTAGTCCCTGCCACTCACCTCTGAGTACTCCGCCACATCTCTGTAAATATCTGTGTCTGGAACTTGCCCCAGGATGGAGTAGTGAGGCCTGTGGGGGAGAGAGTGAGCACAAAGGAGGCAAAGAAAGGGGGCCAGAAGGACGTATAAGGAGCCTGGGGTTCCCCCACAGACATGGGGAAAGCTAGGAGGAGCCAGTGTGGAACTTAATCCCTCACCAGCTGAAATTGGGAGGGGACTGAAATGGTTGACTCACAGCTGTGTTCGGACCACCACAAGTAGCAGAGAGAAGACTACTGCAACCGCTAGGCCAAGATCCAGGTTCAGCAGGATGGTGGCCACAAAGGTTACAAGCCAGATGAGCTGAGAACAGAGGGACAGAGGTCAAAAGGTTCAGAGAGGCCACTGGAGCTGAAGGCCCTAATCCTAGCCCCACATTCCCAGGCTCTTACCAGGTCCACTCGATTTGCCTTCCAGAGGGTGCATATGTCACTGAACTGCCTCATCATGCCCTTCAGGTTTACAATAATGGTGGCTGCCAGGACTGCCTGCAGTGAGGGAGAGTGTCAACAGGGCTGCCAAGAGGTGCCCAGATACTGACAACTGCAAGCATGACCCAGACTGAGCCCAAGCACCCGGGAAGATCTCCAGCCTACAGCAACTACCACCTTCTCCAACCCTAATCACTTAGATCTGACTCTGGAGAGTTCTAACCTCTGATCTTTGACTCCAAATCTCACCCCAAAGACCTCAGCCTTGAACACCAGGGCATTACCTTGTATCCCTGTCCCTCATCAGGGACTACACTGATTGTTCTGAGCCCTGGCCTGGTCAAGGCCCGGAAACCTGGTTGGGAGGAATGAGGGCTCACCTTGGGCAAGTCTTGGAAGAGTTCTCCAAGTTTGAGAATGATCAGGAGGATGAAAAGGGAAGATACAGCTCCAGCAACCTGCAGGGTAGGGTCGAGCAGGAAGTGGGGGTGAACAGGGGTAGAAAGTAGCTTGCACACACAGATGCACGACACTCCCACACCCATGCCCAAGTCCTACCTGTGTGTTGCCCCCGGTGCTTTCCTGTACCAGGCTCCGAGACATAGAACAACTCACAGGGAAGCATTGAAAGATACCGCCGATGAGGTTACTGAGGCCGAGGGCCACCAGCTCCTGGTGGGAGAGTGTGGATGTGAACAGGAGACTTGCCAAAGGTGCCTGATCACTGTCTCACTGTGTCTAGGCCACGCTCCCCCAACCCGCATCTTCACTCAAAAGCCTCCAAAGATTTAGCTGTTATCCCAATACACCCTGTTCTCCCACTCTTGGTTTCCCATGAGTCCTGCCTGATCCTCCCCTGGTCCCCCTCCCCAGTCACTGGGGCCTCTGTATATCTTTATATCCCCTATGAGTCCCACATCATCCAGACCTGGTTGCTGTCAACACGGTAGCCATGTCTCAGGGCGAAGATCTTCCCCAGCGAGATGGCAATGGCAAACCCAACCACAGCAATGGCAAAGGCATTTCCCACAAGCTTTGCAAACAACTGGGGGTTGGGGGCCACTGGAGGTATCAGCCTAGGAAAGGCATCTTTAAGGTCAGAGGAAGGTCCTGGCCCTGGCTGCCCAACCTTCCTTCCCTGACAGGATCAGAGCTTACCCTGCAGGGATATTGCCCACAACCTCTACCCCAAATCTGTTCTTCAGATTCACGCCATAGGAGATACCTGTGGCACCGATGAGCTGTAGGGAGGGGACAGAGTGAGGGGAGAGAAATGCTAGAATTATCATCAGGGAGATGAATAGACTATTTGGGGGAGAATAGGAAGACATCAGAACAAAACCTTCTTTCCAGGGATGGGGCGTTCTAGATAGCCTGAGAGATAGACATCACCATTTTGGGAAGGGAGAGATGCTATAAGGGCTGGGAAGCAGCCAACATGGGGACTTTCTACTGTGGTTCCCCAATAACCCAGGAACTCTCACAGTGGCCACTGCTGCTGGCCCTCAAATATGGCGAGGCTGCCCACTTGGCAAGCTCTATCCTCATTTGCCTTTCTCCCATGACCCCCCACCCCCACCCCAGCTCCCTGGCACTCGAACCGTGAGCAGTTCTCCAGGTATTGGCAGGGGCAGATATCGCTGTAGCTTGTCATTCAACAGCTTCACCATCACAAGCACCACTCCTGCCACAATTGCGGTGATCACAGTGCCAACCACACTCTGGGGCAGCTTCCAGCAGACATCCAGCACTATCTGAGGACAGGTGAGGTCACAGCCAGTACTCAAGGTCATGGGGCACACCTACCCACCCTTCTTCCCACCCTCACTCACATAGATAAGGGACAGAGGCCCAGACCGACTGCTCAGTTGGATGCCAAACACATACTTGAGCTGGGAGACGAAGACCTGCACAGATGCAGCTGTGGTATAGCTGCGGACCAGAGGCTCTGACAGGTAGGTGACCACAAAACCAAAGTGCACCAGGCCCAGCCCCACCTGTAAGGGGTGTTGGGGGTAGTCAGAGAAGCAGAGGTCCTAGGCACGGCCCAGGGCAGGTGGAATCAGAGGGGATGAGTGAACAAGAGGAGAATGGAAACAGACACCCAGGAGGAATGTTTCATACCTGGAAAAGCCCAACCAGGACACTGAGTGTGGAGGCCAACTGCACACGGGCAGCATTTTTGGCCTCCTCATCGACTGTAGAGTTCGAGTCCTGTCGAAAGTCTTCATCTGGAGCCAGGGATTCTGTCACACTCCCCACCATCACAGACATTACAGCAAAGGTCCCTGCAGGGGCAGGATAGGGCAAGGAAGGTCTGAAGAGATGAGGACATTGCTCTGCTCTGGAGTCTAGTCTTAATTAAGAGAGAAGTCTGGAAACATCCCATTCTGGACAAATACTCTTAAACTACGGATGTACAAATGGGGGCAGTGTTGACAGTTAGGCATGGTCAAGGTCAAGAGTGAACTCTAAACTCACAGGTTCTATAAGGGTAGCCAGAATGCTGGCCCTGAATCATCACCCTGCCCCACTTGTGTCCATTAGTCCAGGGACACAAAAGCTGTCTGCAGAGTGTGGAAGGGGTCATGGCCTGCCGCAGGCTGGTCAGGCCTCTGCCAGATCTGGCACCTTGAGTTGCTTCACCCGTCCACATCCTCCTAGAGTCAGGGCTTTGAGATACCCCAAATCTGTGATCCCACAGTCCTTCCTGGGGTGACTCATGGACCAGCCTCCTAGTGACTCAGCACCCATGCTGCTCTCTCCCCCAGGCTTTCCTGCCCTGCTCCCTCTTCTTCACCCTGTGGCATCTTCCTGGAAGGCTAAGCCTGATTCCACTTACCCACAGAGATATGCCGGGAAGTACCAAACAGGAAGTAGATGAAAACAGGGTAGAAGGAGCTGTAGAGGCCAAACACAGGGGGCAATCCAGCCAGGAGGGCATAGGCCAAGCCTGGAGGTAGAATGGTAAGGGTCAATAGCTTGGAGGTAAGTGTCTAAGGTTGGAAGATCCAAACCCTGGGTCAGGGGCCATAGTTCCAGGATTAGAAGTCATGGCTCCAGGTTTGGGGTATCATAGACCACAGAACTTCCAGGCTAGGGCCTTGAGGATGGCTTACCCTGTGGAAGCTGCATGATGGCCACACTTAGGCCAGATAACAGGTCACCCAGGAGCCAGTCACGCACAGGATAGCGGGGTAACCAGCCCAAGATTGGGAGATGTTGGAGCAGAAGGGCATAGGCCCGAGCACGGGAGCACCTGGGGATATGAGGGGTACATATCAGAGACAGAAGCTACCTGGGCCCTGCAGAGCTCCCAGACCCCTAACCTTGGACTTACTGAAACCAAGTTCGCCACTTGTAGGTCTTAGGTGGTAAGCTCCAGCGCCCCAATTCTTCCAGCTGCTCCTGGTTCAGCAGTGGCCGTTCCACATGGTAGTCCCGCTTCTGCAGCTCCATGGCCTGCATTGCAGACAGCAGTGCCTGTGTGTCCCTCAGTCTAGAGTGATGAAACCACAGATATACAATGAGAGTACCCTTGTCTAACCTTCCCTATACTTCCACCTGGGACCAGAGAGTCACACAATTGATTTTTTTCAGGCCCAAAGATCAAAGTAGCACCAGCCTCCAGCTGGTCCTTGTGGGCCCCATGCTCACAATCAGGCAGGGGCAGTATCTGAACTTTGGCTGGTGGAAACCTCTTTCTGGGCCAAAGTCCCTTGAGAAGGGATGGTAAGATGAGCACAACCTACACATTCAGCCTAGGTGTGGCTGCCCAGCCCTGAGTACTGGTCCAGGTCCACGTCCAGGTCCAGGTTGACTGCCCCTTCTAGCCCTCTCCTCCCAGGTCCTTGCCTTCCCAGAGCCAATCCTTGTCAATCCCTGAGTCCTTATCCAGATATCCCATAAGCCCAGGCCTGGCTGCCTGAGAGTACATTCAAGGACAAGATCTGGCAAACCGGAGGTCCAGGTCTGCAAGCAACTCTCTTTCCAAACCTCAGGTCTCCAGATAAGTCCCTCCTCTCTAATGGAAGGATGATTTTACCCCTGGACCTCCTGCCCCAGCAGGAGGTTGTAGATAGTCTGGGCCTAGTCTGGGAAAGGTGAGGGGGGATTTCTAAGAAAGGAGTCTTTCCTGGAGTGGGAAGCTCTCACCTGGAGGGAGAGGCTTCTACCTGAAGTAGGGAAGATCTCACCTGAGAAAGGAACTTTCTGGGGCCAATCTGACCTAGAGGGACCTGACCTCCTGGGAAAGTCTTTACCAGCCAGGTAAATTCTGATCTGAGGGAAAGTTCTGACCTGGGGGGAATCTCTGACCTGAGGAAATTTCTCATGGCGGGGGGGGGGGGGGGGGGGGGGGGGAGGGGGGGGGGGGGGGGGGGGCTCCTCCTCTGAAGTGGGAGAAAGCTCTCCCCTGGGAATAGATGGGGGAAGGGGGGGAGGCGGATAGAGGAGGGTTATTCTAGTATGTTAGGAAAGTTTTTACCTGCCAGGAGAGTTCTGCTCTAGGAGGAAGTCTGATCAGGAGAGAGGATCCCATCTCTAAGGAGCAGGAACTCACCTGGGAAGGGTCTCTACCCTTAACGTCCCGGTTGGAGGAGGGAGTAGGACAGGTGCAAGGAAGACCCTCAGAGATTCTCCGCACCCTTGTCAGACCGAGCTCTTACAGCCCCCTCTCCCCACCCCGTGATCACTCAGGTCTATTTAAAGGGCACCCTCCTCCTTAACTCGAGACATGCGCCTGTAGGGCGGAGCCTTGATCCTTGGCCCCTCCCTCTGGGAGGGCAGTGGGGCCTGCTGGGCCAGAGCTCTTATATTCCCTTTCTATTGTAATTGGGCAGACGCCGGTCCCAGCTGATCCATAGGCCCGGCCAGAGATTCTCTTGCAGCGATCTCCTAGCCCCAACGC